GCCAGCGGTGAGAGGCATGGATTTGGCCATATCCTCCTCCTTCTTGGCGGACTGCTTCTCGCGCTTGCTGCCGGTCCGTGTGTTGGAACGGCTGCCACCACCACGGGGAGTTCCCGGTCCAATACCCATGTTGGAGCCGGGACGGCTGATGGAAGGAGCTCCCATACCCACAGGAGGACGGCCGAACTGGCCAAACGGCATGGCGGGACCGCGAGCATTAGAAGCAGCGAAGCGTTGCTCAGAGGTGGTTCTGGCCGCGGGCTGTCCGAAGGAGCCCATGACGAAAGGCTGAGCCACACCGCCGCGAGAAGGATTGCGTGCTCCCATGGGCGTACGGGCGGACTGAGGACGCGATGTGTCGCTCTCGCCCACGGTCTCACGAACACGGGCATCCCAATCAATGGACGGCTTCTCCTTGAAGACACTCTGGAACTGAAGCAAGAATTCCTTGTTGTAGTGGAACTTGCGGTCCGCAGGAGCGTTGGCATTGAGAGCCGGGTTGGGAGAGACGATAGAGGACGGGTAATTGACCTTGCTCAAGTCGTCGACGAAGCGAGCCGATTGCAGCGACTTCATGGCAGCGCTGGGCTGGGGAGGCTCGACTGCCTTGGTGGTCTCCAGCTTCAGAGCAGCAGGCTTCTCCCGCTTCTGGGCACTGGCAGGCTTGCCAGGAGGTCCCATGGAGATGTCGGAGACGGGAGTGGCGGTGCCGCTGTCGGCAGGCGTGCTGTCCTCTGTAGCAGCTAATCCGCCCTTCTTGAGCGCAGCAAACAGCTCCTTGTTGGATGTCTCTGCGGCAGCCTCACGCTTCCGCTGACGCTCCTCCTCGAGAGCTTCGGCCTCGGCCTCGGCTTGTTTCATGTTCGCTTCGTAGGCCTCGCGCTCCTCCTTCTCCTTACGCTCCCTCTCCTCCTTTTCGGCCTGCTTCTTGGCGTAATAGGCAGCTTCCGCGGCAGCTTCCTTGGCTTCGATCTCGGCCAGCTCGCGCTCGATGGCCTCGTAGTCGATCTCATCATCATCACCAGCAGGGGCGGGTTCCTCCTTCTTGGGCTCTTCGGCAGCGGGCTTGGCCTCGTCTGCCTTGTCCTTCAGGCTGAGCTCCTCCAGCTTCGCGCGTGCCGCCTCCTCATCGGCGGCCTTCTTCTTGGCGGCCTCCTCTTCTTCCTGTTTCTTCTTCTGAGCAGCTGCCTCTTCCTCTTCCTCCTTCTTCTTGCGAGCCGCTTCCTCTTCTTCCTCTTGTTTCTTCTTCTGAGCGGCAGCTTCCTCTTCTTCCTTGCGACGTTGCTCTGCTTCGTCCTGTTCAATCTTCTGGCGTACCGCCTCTCTCAACTCCTTCTTCTTCTCCTCGTCCGTCTTGGCCTTGGATTCGGTTCGGTTGTGATCAGCGCCACTGCCGGTGCGAGGCGGGGGCGTAGCGGTCGGGGTTGAGATCTTCACAGGAGATGGAGTCGCACGCGCGGGGGAGGCCGGTGCCTTCTCGAAGGTCTTGACAACACCACTACCGGGGTCCTTGATGACGATGGGGCTCCGCTTGGTGGGAGGAATGACAAACTGAGGCTTAGGCGGCGCGGGGCTGTTGGAGGATCTGCTGGCCGTGTGAGTATGGCTGGCGGCCGGGGCGCCTGCGGGAGGCTGGCCCTGGCCCAGGCTGGAGCCCGGACGGTCGTTCGACACCTGAGACGGCGTGCGCGACAGGGGAGCGGTCTGGGGAGGAGGCTGAACCGGGTACTGGTTCTGCATGTAGGGCGCCTGCGGGTTATACGGCATGCCGGGCCGTGGCTGTGGCGAAGGGGGGGTCATGTACTGCATCTGCTGCATGCCATAGGCGGGATTGTAATAAGCGTAGTTGGGGTCATAGGGATAAGCCTGGGGGTTTTTCATTAGCGTCAGATAATGTTCAAACTGACCGCTTTCCGGCGCGAGATTTGGAGGGGGGAGGTGGAGAGGGGGAGGGGAAGTATGTGCAAGAGGGAGGCTTGAGGAGGAAGATGAAGAGAAACGACGGGATCCTTGTCGTCTCTTCGGAAATGGGCCACGACGGGGGGGTTTGTAAACAGAAGGGTGGTGTCTCACTGTTTGCGGGGCCATATGTTGTCCGTAGGTGGCGTAGGGCTGAGGAGGCATCTGGGGATGAGCCATCGGGACCTGGTTCATTTGAGGAGTAGCAGGATGCGCGGTCGCCAGAGCCGGGCTGCGCTGGTGTGGCGAGTTGGGGAAGGGCGCCAGAGGCCGTCCCTGGTTCGGAGCGTGGAACTGAGGGCCCATGTTGGGACCACCCCGGGGCTGGTTGGGAGACCGGAAGCTGGGACCAGGTGAGTAGGGCATCTGTCCTTGGTAACCGGACTGCGAGTATCCGCGACCGCGTCCTCCCTGGTGAGGGTAACCGCCGCGTCCAGGACCGCTTCCCATATGGTTGCTCATATCACTGTGCGTGGACTGGGAGGATTCGCGACGGAGATGGGTCGACTGAGAACCAGGACCAAGGGGAGCTTGAGGACCGGAGCGCATCTGCGAGGAGAATAAAGTAAGCACAAACTCTTTGCGTCACAATTTGCAGATACACCGCAGGGATGCGTCCTTTTGTTTTTTCAATCTGCGTCAAAATGAATGCCATGACTTACGTTCGCATCGCCGGCATCTCCAAAACTTCCAAAGTTGGGCACATTCCCCTGAGACTGGTAGGACGATGGTGGCGGCCGACCACCGCTCGAGGCAGGCTGCGGGATAGGCGAAGGGGAAGTCTGAGGAGACGTAACACGGGGGTTCATCGACGGGGACACACCCAAGCCCGACTGAGGCTGGGTCGCCAGAACGGCCGGGTTTCCCATGTTGGGAGAGCTCTGCGAGTTGGCGAAACCGAACTGGAGGCTATTGGGACGACTGGCAGGGCCACCGTTGGGGATGAAGCCAGAGGTACCGGCCGAGGTGATGGTCACCGAGGGCTTTCTCGAATGGTCGCCTTGCGAGGCGGAGGCCGGGGCGCCATTGACGATGGTGACGCCGGGGGACTGGGAAGATTGTTGCATGGGTTTGCCGCTCACAGGAGATACTGAGGTCGACTTCCCATGTTGCGAAGAGCCACCCACGGTGACGGGAGCGGCGGTCGAGTCCGTCGCGGACTTCTTGGTGGCGCTGGCGTAGGACCTGGCGGCCGTCGAGGTAGGAGCAGGCAAGGGTGAGGTCTTCCCACTGAGCGATGGGGAAGGCGAGTGCGACGAAGCGGCCTGAGTCGAGGTGCTCTGTCCTTGAGGTTGAAGGCCTGACTTTTGAGGGATCGAGGTCATTAGACAGGTTAATGGGAGAAAGGAAGGTTTTTCCTAAATGCGCTTTTTTTTTGTGTGCGTGTGCGTATTCGTGTGATGTCAAATTGTGGGGAGCAGAATCGGAACGCGCTCCAGATTCCGCATTAAAAGAAGCAAGAATACTTCTAAAGGACTAATACTACTAGCGAAATAGTAGTAGTATTAATTTTTATTCTTTCTCAAACTCCCACACTGAACGGAGAGGTCGTCCGGTGGAAGGGAAAGGGAGATGGGGGAGGTAAGAGTAGGTAGGTGAGAAAGGTTGAGTAGTACACTGCCACCGGAAAAAAAATAAGGCAGGACAAAGAAAAAAGAAAAAGACGTCGTTGGACTACGACGAGTTGGGATATGGGGTAAGGAGGAAGGAAGGAAAGAAAGGGAAAAAAACCCAACTACGATAAATCGGTATCTACCTTTCTAAGTCGCTAATAATAATATTCAACTGGGTTACTCTTCCTGTTCGGGTGCTTTACTACGCCTGTCTGTGTCGCTGTCTGCTGTCTATTTTTTTCTCCCTTCCCCTTCCCTTCAGTGCGGCGAGGACAAAAAAATTTTTGAAAGGCAAAAAAAAAAAAAAAAAAGGTGAAGCGCCTAGGCGGAACACACGAGCCTGACAACTTCAAGCAAAACAATCACCACCTTCTTCAACTACAGCTTTAATCCTTTTATTCTACTCGATTATTGGTACTTTTCTTCCCTAAAATTGATCAAAACTTCACATCCAAGATGAATGTTTGCGAAACAAGGTAACGAAAAGAAGGAGCTGTTATCCATGGTGGATTAAACCAACGGAACCCTCCCTAGGTTAAGTTCCTACTTTACCCTTTCGGGACGGGGTGAGGATGTCAGTGCCATTGCTGACTGGTCGCTTCTTCGGGTTGCGGCGGCGAAAACAATCTACCTTAGGTACGGGAAACGAATAAGCAATTAGCAATCAAATAATACCTTACCCAGCTGAAGACAACTAAGGTGATGGGCTACTAACATAAGTATGACCAGAAGGTATCTACAGAGTGCATTCTGTCCGACTCTTCATCAGGCGCAGCGGCATAGATACGACACATCAGCAAGTGACTCACCGCAAGACAGATGATGACAGGCAGAATTTCCATACTGTTCTTCCAGTCATAAAACAAGGCAAGTCAAGATGAGATCATTAGCGCCTTGACGGTGATACCTGAGGCATCTTTGCCACCACTATCCTCAACATTGTGCATCGTGTGATGAAATAAACGGAGAGTGGCTATGGATAAACTCAGAAATAATACTACATCTCTGCCCAACTAGCTCCAGCTTCCGCTGAGGCTACCTAGGTAGACATTGCACTGCATGTTCAGGTAAATGTGTCAATAGTGCCATATCGCATGATGGTCACACCCGTACCTTCCTTGCATTCCGCATGTCGATTGGCATGGCGCATCATCTTCATCCCATGGGTTTCTAGAAATGTACCGAGAATTGTTCTCTTGGTCCTCTCCTCTTTCAATTCAGGTACAGGACATATCCCCAAGTTCTGTATCATAGTAGAGAAGCACCTGAGCACAGAACAAAGACGACCAGCTCGTCTTTATTTATTTATCTGGTTGGTCCGGAAACCAGCTCCTCATAGATCCACCCAAACCGATCTCTCCCTCCTAGGAAAGATACCTGACAGTGATAGATATCATTGACATGAGTTTGCACCAGACACGATACCCCTTATCCTGCCACAGTCCCATTCCCCTTCCCCAAAGACATCTGCACCGCCGTAGCAACACCCACTACCCCCCGAAGAGCAGTGTTCAAAACACTCCATCCATAGCCACCCATCGCCGCGCTTTGGAAGTGTGCAAAGACCCCTCCTGCCACCGGATTGCCAAACGAGGCCTGATACCAGGCCGCGAACGAATCTAGCAAAGCAATGAGTTAACCGTCGGTATTCGAACAAAGACAAGGACGAGGGCGAGTATACATACGAGAAATCGGACCCAGAGATCCAAATCCCGTGAGATAGAGGACAGGGGAGATAACCGCCTGAGGAAATGTGAAGAGACAGATCGAAACGAGTCGGAGTGGATTCTGAGTGATGTAGGTTGTGACGTTCCTGGGAAGAGCATGAAGCTCAAGAGCAGTTGGAAGTGGGATGTTGTGCTTCGCGAGCTCAATGAGCGTTCCTGTTGTGTTGGAAATGGCGTTGATGCTGGGAGCGAGAGGTGTTGCGACCTGGTGCAGCCTCTCAAGCACTTGAGAGTACATCATTCATTTGTGGATCTCGATCAGGTGATATCTAGAAAGGGCGTTCGAAGAATTCAAATCCAATGCCTTATCGCTGTGAGTCCTGGTTGATAGCGGGGCAGGTCCATTGATGATACAGACTGGTGTTGTTGAGGATGAAGATGGGTACATTTTAAGTCATTTGCTGCGGCGCTGTTACTTCAGCGCTTAGCATGGCAATCAACCAACGCAAAAATACTGCGGCAAGGCATATTCACCACAAAGCCCATTCAACTGATTTGATCACAATTCATTGTCTTTCCTGCCTACGAGTCTATATATACTCCGGCCAGTCTATTTGGAGACTATACTCAGCATGAAGCCATCACTCAGTGACAACTAGTCTAATGGTGGGATCCCCTTGACCGCGGGACGTCGTTAGCAGCGCGTGGTATAGCCTCCACGCCAGAGGAAGCAGCCGGCTCTCCGCTGCCAAACCATCCCGACGTCCATTTGCCACTGGACGATCTTTCCGGTCTTGACGGAGATCGATCACGAATGTCTTCTGGGTTGATATGGTCAAACGAGTTGTCACTGCGATTCTTTCTCAGAGAGGAGCCATATGCAAGGCCGTCGTCCACATCGCCTCTATCAAGGTTACTCTCTTCCTTGGCCAATGCCGCGCGCAACACCTCAATCACTTCGCGCTGCTTGGAAATAAAGCTAGCCTTGTCCTCACGGGACATTCCAGCCAGTTCTCGCGGCAAGAGATTCCCGCTGGCAGACAGCTCTTCAGCCCGCGCTTCATGGCTTTTACCTGCGGAAGTCAATGCTGCCACGGCGGAGCTGATCGTGGAGTACCAGTCATTCGCGGGAGCTTGTTGCGCTCCGCCAGCAGCGGTAGGGATGTAGAATCGAGAGAGGAGCGACTGCGCATATCCAGCGGGGCCGGTTGGCGGAGGTGGAGGAGCAGGGTGTTGACCCGGCAATCTCAGAATCTTCTCCCGGATGTAATCGATGGCCTGGTAGAAGTATTGAAGCCCAAGGGCTTTGGCTTGTTCATGGAAGCGGCCGATAAACACTTCGATCTCTCGTTCATGGTGTTCCAGGAAGGGGTCGATATAGGTCTGGTACAGGATCTTTGCGCCCTGCGTCTGAGGAAGTACGAGATAGGAGAAGAAAAAGAGTCGAAACCAGCTGTAGAACGGGATCCTACAGTATATCAGCCTTGCTTTCGTTGTGCTATTTTCATCGGGATGAGTCTTTAGTACCAGCCCAGAATGAAAATCGTCCATGATTCAGCCAGCAAAATGCCCGAGAGGACAACCCAGTACATCAACCATGGTGCAAGTTGTGACGGATCAGAGGAGCGCAAGGCTTTGTAAGAGGCAAATACAGGGAAGAGGATCGTAATCACCGAGCTGAAATATGACGATTCGAAAACGTTAGCTCGGACTTAATGGTCGTAGGTATTGAGGGATGACCACAGAGATATCTGCTGCCCGCATTTTCCCCGGAGATACCGGAGCCAGAGTACTTACGACATCAAGTCCGCGATGATTCCAAACATTTTGAATAACCTGATCTCCGGAAACTCTTTATAGGTTGATGGGATACAGAAATACTTTATCGCGAAAACTTTTCAAGGGGTTGTATTGATGAAGAATATCTTATCGTCTAACGTGAGGAGCTAACCTCGCAGCTCTGAGTGCGGGGTGGGGAAGCAAGAGCTCTTCACGCGACCAAGGGTCAGTCGAAGGGAGAACGGCCAGCCGCAGGGGTGATGATCGAGAAATGAGTCCGCCTGACAAGAATGTCTTGGGGCAATTGAAGTTGGGGATGGCAGAAAGGAAGAATACAAGGGATAGGGAAGAAGAAAGTAAAAAATTAAAAGAGCTACGTAAGTTGTTGCCTGAGCTTTGGAGCTGGAGGCCATTACGGAGTACGAAGTCCATAGTTAGGTAACCTAACGCTATAAGGCTGTAAGCCCTATGGGTCGGTCCCATTTTGGGTGGGCTGTCGCTCCGCAGCTTTACCAAATCGACATAATAACGCCATGACCAAATCAGCATCATGAGCCAAGCCCATCAACACACTGTCTGTCTTTGATAATCGAGGGCGATAGCACTTGAGAGTCATGTATACCAGTATCCATGTCCGTACTGAAATCTTCTACAGCAACAAGGTCAAGGCCTCGTTACTACTGTTTTAACTGACCATTTATCCATGCACTTGACGTCATTCACCATACTTTTCAATTTCTACTGATGAGCATCATCGGAACGAGTGATGGATTATACTTTGAGTAAAAACCTAATTCTGGGCTATACGTACAATGAGATTTCAGAATAATGTGAGCGAGAATGGTAATTCCGGTAATAGCAAAGTTAGGTACATGTATTAAGCCTCTGCATGATTTACTGGAATACTAGAGAGGTACAGGATAAGAAAAAGTATTTAGAGAGAGGGGCTTGGTGGTCTACAGACCAGCACCCTTGCACGACATGGACCGCTCGGCCACCTTGTGCTGTTTCATACATTTTTGTATGGAGAGGTACCTGTGGGATTGCTCGGAAAGCCATAACCATAGCAATGGGCAGACCTACAATAGCACGTCCGCGTAGTATGTGCTCCGTGATCCTATGCCAATATTTAATAAAATTCGTTTATTCCATACTTGTCCCTATTCTATCTAATGTACTAGAGGCATGTCTATGCGTGTAAAAGATATCCCTCCTCATCGGCCTCTTCCCCGTGCCTCAGCGTTGGTAGGTTGCTTAAACTCGAAGCACGCCTCTTGAGCCAAGTTCCCATCCAGCTCGATCTTTCCTCCTGGTCATCTTCATGCGATTCACATGACAGCAGAATCGCATGATCCAATGCGTGTGGGAGTCCACGATGTCTTCCACGCAACTGCATTGCGATAATGACCAATTTTGACACCCAATTAAACTGGGCACACAAGCTTGTTTCTGTCTCAGGATATCCCGGACAGAGCCCGAAGACCCGTACAATACAATCTCAAAGAGAACAGAGAAGAGCCAGAAGGCCGGGTCGTCGGCGGCTTTCTGGAGACGGCCTCCTTCCGTGAGTGCAATGAGGAAGAGTCCGAGCATGACGTACCAGAGATCGAATCCCGGTTGTCGCTGGATGTTCACGGCCAGTTCTATATGTTTTCCGTTCCTAGATTCTGCTTCTGAATCGGAGTCATGCTCGTAGACTCCGAGACTCCTTTCTTCGTATACATTGGTTTCGCGCATGGCGATGGCGGTTGGGAAAGCGGAAATGTACATCATGACGGAAAGATACTTGGATGGCAGGATGAATGTCTGCAAGTGGTGTGACCGAGAAGCCGGCTGTTTGCGTTGAAGCGATCTGAAACAAGCCGTTGACGAGCCAATTAAAGGAGGGCGGAGACTGGCTGTCTGTTTGGTACTCAGATCTCTGTATGAAGGCGATTTAGATTAGCTTCTTGCTCTAAAGATTGAACCAATTGCACTTACATCGGAGAGGGTGCAGAAAACAGTGAAGTCAACCCCATTGAGCAAGATCAGTACCCCTAGGAGCCTCCACAATTCTCCACTAGGAAAAAGAAGCGTGAAGCATCGGCGTGGGTGATCCAGGAGGTATTGAAGCTCCTCATTGAGGCCACTACCATAGGGTGCCAACCATGAGAGCAGCCAGATGATCAACCGAAGCATGCATGGGAACCCAGTATTCCCAGTGACGATCAGGAAGGACATCAAAATCGAAGGAAAGCAGCATTCTTAAACGAGACCATTGAATCCGGCGTCAGTGTGTATCCTAGGTCCTTGAAAGCTGAACCAGCAGTGAATATTCCCCACCAGAAAGTATTAACACCATTCATCGTGACGGATTGGCCAAACACTGGGGTCAGCCATATCCAACGAGACAAGGATCAGAAAGCCTAGGAGGTGGAAAAGTATAAAATAGCACATCAAATTCATCCGTAGCGTCTCCAGTGCCTGGTTCTCGATCCCAGCGAGCTGGTCCTTTTGCCTTTCGTCCCAGTCCGAGTAACTCGCAATGGATGCTGCCACATAAGCGAAGGTAAGTAGGATATGCTGTGACTGGCATCTTCATGAGGCCTTGCCAACGAACGTCGACTTCCCGTTACAGCTTGATTTGGTCCGGTATTAGTAAATGACCGTCGATGGTATCTTACTTGATGTTCGACATTGTGGAAAGTAACGTGGAGACCATTGGATACCGGAGCAATCTGTTTCATGACATGGTATCTAATACAGAACTTCCTAAGTGTTCTTTAATCTCTGTATAGTGGCCTAAACCTTCAGCAACAGAGCTCCAACAAGAATTAATAAATGCCATGACCTATGCAGGGACAGCCATACTATGTAAGTTAGCCCTTGTTTTTCAGGCTATATATATCATATTTAATCCTGAATCTAGTACATACGACCATAGGGTGTGGAAAACAGGGCTTCCCGTCCGCTCAGCCGTACTTAAGCCACACGCCGGCCGGTTAGTAGTTGGGTGGGTGACCACCAGCGAATCCCGGCTGTTGTATGTTTTTTGCTCACCTAGTTTTTGCTTTCAACTGAGAATATTCTGGTCCATTAATGCTTGATGATCACTAGCTGGATACTAGTGAACTAGAGAATGCAGGCCTTCCGCAACAAGTCTACTGGAGAAACTCACGACATGCCCATGTCATGTCGAGATGGATTTTGGCCATTTTCGCTATTCCGTTCAAGCAAAGGTTGCGTGAGGCTATCATGCTTTTGGGAGATGTCAGTCGCCACGCGGTTGGAATTCTCTCGTCCAAATTCTGTCTCTTCTGCTTTCCTCTTCCGCATCAAAGGGCGAGGCTTTCGCTTCGTTGACTATCCGCCGAAGCCGCTTCCGAAACCAATACAGACGTATGCAGACAAGAAGCGAGTCGACAAAGATGACATTGGTGACCATAGCAACAATCCACAGGATTAGCTGCTGGAGCACATGAAGCCGATTCAAGTCGATGCGGTTTAATCCGGTTTGTGTGGCAGCGCCAGATGCTAGAAGTAGAGCATCAATATAATTGACCCCTCCGATAGTATAGATGGCGGAAGATGCTAGTATGGTCCAGAAAACAATATATATATAGTGGTGGTGAAGCCGGAATGGAGATAGATCTTTGTCTTCATGGCGAGGGTCGGGCGTTCGCATTGCGATGCCCCAGGCAATCTCCAGACGCTAATCCGGCAACAGAACTTCCAGTCACCTCTTCCTGGGGTTTTGAAAGCGTTAGAAGAGCAAGACATGGTCGAGAGTTATAAAGCCTCTGTAAGACATCATCTCGTGGCAATGGCTCGTAGAGGCTAACAAATACCTCATGATGCACATGTTTGAGGTTATTTTATGACCATTGAGAGCAGTTGTTGAAGCAGAGACCAGAATTAACATCGGTCATAGCTTCAAATTGTGCAGTGCTCTCATAGGAACTGAGGAAGATCGATCTTATAAAAGTATAGATAGTCGAGGTCTGAGGTCATTCCCAGCAATTCAAATGGACGAAATTGATCCTGAAGAGGAATTAGTACAGCACAGCCACTCGCATGTCGTTGACTCTGTCACAACTTGCGAAGATTTAGAAGTCATAGGTTGATTGGTTTTTCACCCAGTGTAGGAGTAGGACTTGGACCAAAGAACAGAAGGTCCATCAAAAGACCTCAGGCTACGGCGTACAGGTTGACCTGGCAGTGGGGACAGTAAGAACGGACACCTGAGGCTACGAGGACACACGCGGGCAACACTGATTGAGGCATTTTTTTCTCTCCTCTCCTCTTCTCTCCGATCATAGCTCTTTCAATCTGTAAGAATCCTTCTTGTGTCTTTGACCTCTTCCTCTCCGATACTCCCCGAGATTAACACCCAACTCTTTCGATTAAGCCTTAGCCTCCTCGCGGACAAGAGCCCCAAGACTTTCAGCCTTCCGAAGCTCTCATGCCAAGGACGCCTCTTGTCTCTTCGGCTTTGCCACCGGTAGAATAGCAGCGGAACCTGGCCGGCGCTTGTTGAAAGAGACTGCAAAAAGTCAGCAGGCTTTCATTGTTTAAACCGATCCAAAGGTTCCTTGGGGACTGGGAGCAAGGGAGAGGGGCAATTCCCCTTTTATCATTCTCGTTGGCAGTTAAGATGATTCCACTAGATAGTGATGGCGGCCAGTAATGGGTAAATAACCGACAATGATACTGCCATGCCATACGAAACGAGCTATCAACTTGTTTGTTCCTTGGCTGACTTTGGACTCGTGAACTGGCTTTCTCTTCTGAGGGGTTCAATATCTAAACTTCTTGTCCCGACTAGTTCCGTACGTCTGTACAGATTTAAGGCCTCGAATGGTTGAGGAGAGCCCGACCGACGGCAGCGATTTTCGGCCATATTACCATAGGCATCTATGGGACGAGCATTTGAGTGCGCGATTTCTGAAGCTTCTGTGGGTTACTTGCTGCAAAACCTTGCTCCCTTTTCTCCGAACCGGCAGTCTCGATCAATCCTTCTTCGTCGCCCCCCCCCCCCCCACGCTCACACGGGGAGATTGGAGCACTTAGCGTGTCTGGGCGAGACATGAAAGCATGCTGTTGACCCCCGCCAGTAGTAAGATACGACATCAAGCCCGTCTTTGGTAGTGTGGCTGCTACTGATGCTGACCCATTGGCGGCCACGTCTGGTTTAGATGCTTGGCATCATCTTGGCTCGATACAGATTGGAAATTTCTCGCGGAGATCGCCCGCGAGGACCTGGGGTAGTTGGAGTAGAGTAGTATCGCTATCACCGTATCGCTACTAGTATCAGTTGCATCATCCATGGTCTGACCCTGCGGGGTTTCGCATGGCTCCCCATGGGGTAGCGAAAACGGACCAGGGTCAACGGGGCGAGATACATATAAAAGCCATGTACGAGACTGAAGCGAGGGGTTCTGTTGGCAGTATCGTCCACCCTCGTCCTATTCCAAGGGAATACCGAGCAACACCGCCCACAGTTCCTCGCTTTACCTGCGAATATGAGTACCTCCCATAATGAGCCAGCGGAGCCAATTCCGGATGGTATCATCGCCACCGCGAAGCAGTCCTTTGGCGATCTTTTCCGATGGAAACAGCGTGTCGTCGTGACCAACGAGTCTGGCGAGACTCACGCCGAGTGGCAAGCACCTGAACCTATCCAGAACCCTATCAGTCTGCTTATGCAGCTTGGTGCACGGGACTGGCTCTTTTTTCTCGTTGGCTTTTTTGCATGGACGGCCGATGCGTTTGATTTTCATGCCCTATCTATCCAGACTGTCAAGCTGTCAAAGTACTATAACCGCTCAAAAACCGATATCAGCACTGCTATTACTCTGACTCTGCTCCTACGAAGCGTCGGTGCCGCTTTCTTCGGTCTAGCTGGCGATCGGTTCGGGCGTAAATGGCCCATGGTAATCAACATGATTGTGCTTGGTATCCTACAGATAGCCACCATCTACAGCCGTACGTTCCAGCAGTTCCTGGCTGTTCGGTCATTATTCGGACTTTTTATGGGCGGTGTCTATGGTAATGCCATCGCGATGGCATTAGAACATTGCCCGTAAGTGCTAAATCTCAGGCTCCGAGTTTCTCCCCCTTTGCTGACAACCATAGTGTCAATGCTCGTGGTCTCATGTCCGGAATTCTGCAGCAAGGCTATTCGGTTGGATACGTACTCGCCGCCTGCGCAAACCTCGGCGTCGGCGGTTCAACAGAGAGTTGGAAGACAGTTTTTTGGATTGCGGGTCCGTTGCCTGAGTTCTCCTTCGAAAATATTCCGAGCTGGAAGCTGACAAACTTACAGCTGGCGCCTCAATCGGTGTTGGACTCGTTCGCATATGCTTCCCTGAATCCAAACAATTCCTGGAAGCCAAGAAGGCCGGCAAGAAAGCCGCTGACCCCGGCGCATTTTGGCGTGAGACGAAGCAGATGCTCGGGAAGGAGTGGAAGATGTGCATTTACTGCATCTTCTTGATGACTTGGGTATGTCCCCGCGATGTTCACTGGAGAAAAACCGCTGACTTTCATAGTTCAACTATTACTCCCACACCTCGCAAGACTCATATACTACGTTCATGTTGACTCAGAAAGAGATGCGCAACGCTGGAGCCTCTCGTGCATCTATTCTGATGAAGACTGGCGCTTGCGTGGGTGGTACAATTGTTGGATACCTGTCGCAATTTGTCGGACGGCGCCGAGCTATCATTATTTCTGCCCTGTTGTCTGGCATCCTTATTCCTGCCTGGATTCTCCCACAAGGCGAACAATCTCTGAGCGCATCCGGCTTCTTCATGCAGTTCTTCGTTCAAGGTGCCTGGGGTGTCATCCCTATTCACTTGAATGAACTTTCTCCACCCGCGTTCCGGTCTTCCTTCCCAGGTTCGTACCTCATACCATACCGATCGTGGAGAATCCTCACTAACGTGCAAAGGTATCACATACCAACTAGGAAACATGATCTCCTCGCCCTCCGCCCAGATCGTCAACGCCATTGCCGAGAAAACCATGATCACCGCTCCATCTGGTCATCGGGTTCCCGCGTACGGCCCTGTCATGGGAGTTGCCACGGCCATCATTGCGATGGGTATCGTGTTTACTACGGCATTTGGACCGGAGAAGCGTGGTCGTCGGTTCGAGACTGCCGTTGCGGGTCTCCAGTCAGCCAGGTCGGAGAAGGAAATCGATCTGGAAGAGGGTCTGGACGACAAGGCAGCCGAGAAGAGAGTGGAGGAAGTAGGGAAACTTTGAGCCGCTCAGGCTCTTTGGCGAAGTATCAGCTCACGAATAGATGATGACTCTGTAAATGATGAGATGATCTGCGTGGCTATTTGGTATGCTTAGGATGCTTACACTTGAAGGATGCAAACTATTTATTCTACTGTATAAGTTGTCTTCGAAACTCGCTTGTTCGTTTCTATCCAATATTATCCGAACCGAATATCAAAAAAGGAGACCTAATCACTCAATTAAGGCAAGATGGCCGAGTTGGTCCAAGGCGTGAGGTTAAGGTCCACCTTAATACCAAACTCCCAGAGTTTCCTCATCATCGTATGATGGCGTGGGTTCGAATCCCACTCTTGTCATTTCTCTTTTGCTTTTTTCTTTCCGTCTTTTTTGGATTTACACTACTTTCTATTTAGCATGCTTGATCCGATCTATTTATCTTCTATATTATTGACATAGTTCTATAGCCCCCCGTATAACCGCCTGATGAAACTAGGATTGCCATCAATGGGCAAAACCGAACCACGTCATATCCCGCTCCCTGGGCCCACACCAGTGGCACAAATACCCTGCAACTTGTCACCCCAAGTGGTGGTCTCATACCTGGCCACGGGTGTGTTCTCTACGACAATCTTTGGGGCATCGTACATATACCTAAAGACGCCCGCCCACTGCTTGCAGGTCTCGCTGTAGCTGTATTGGTACTACCGTGATAGATTTGCAGCTTAGGGCGTGGGCCGTTGTATCCCGGTCATGGCCTTTGGGACGCCGGCCCAGACCTCAGGCGTGGCGATGGACTTGCCCTGCGAGCAGGTGCTGTTCCATGCCTGGTTCTGGTCGGTGGCGGACATGAAGCAGCCGGCGGCTACATCGGAGTCGGCGATACCTGCGGCGAATAGCTCGGGATATGTGGCTGCCATGACGTTCTGTTTGTTGTTACTATACCAATCGATATGGCCTGGGGTTGTAGTGAACGTACCGTCATCATGGCGCCTGAGCTGCTACCTGTCACAAACATCTTACTGCAGTCGACCTTGTACTGCTTCTTGGTCCAGGCGACCATGTCGGCATGGAGTTGCTGTTTCCGCCACAGTTGTGAGTCAGAGTTGCTTTCGAGCTCACGTCCGAGCATTTGCCTTCGTAGGGTCTCTCGGGTTAGATGACTATAAAGTCGTATTGTTCTGCCAGCTTGGCATAGGGGGAGCCGGTGTAGTATGCCTCCGCTGTTCCTGTGCCTGTATCCCACTGTTAGTTCTAGGTCATAAAAGTGTTGCCTGCGGATCTCACAATAGTAAATGGCAACGACAATGCCCGGCTTCGCTGCCAATTTCTTGGGAACATAAATGTACATGGAGACATTGGTGGGATTGGGGCCAAAATCGGGGATGTGCTCAAGAGATCCTGCTTTGGGAAGGATGAATCCTACGGCCGCGGCACTGGCCGTAAGAGCATAAAGAAGAACGGTGAGGAAGAAGGAGGAAGGCGCCATTTTGGACTATGTATTGGACGCCTTTTATTCCCCATGGTCTGTCTGCTAGGCGCCTAGACTCACTATGCTTAGGGAGATCAGCTCCACGGGTCGGACTAATTTGCCTGTATGAAAAGTCCGAATGACAGCCCGAACGCAGCTGAGAGATTCCGCCTCATAGATCCGTCACCGTTGTCCAGAAGTATCAATGAGGAAGTCTGCCCCTGTACCGAAGCTGGAGGTGAAACAGGGCCCACAGAGGATTCAATCCTTCGGTGTGAGGACCTGCAGCGGATGCATGACTTAGAAACTATCTGACGAACTATTTGAGACTATCATATCTTCTGGCAGATAGTCTGGTTGGTGGAATGATGGTCTTTGGAGTTGTAAATCGGCATGCGAATCCGTCACTATCCAGGCACAAGAGAAGCTCGCGATGTATACGGGGAAATGAAGAACAGAGCCTGCCCATGACGATGCTCAAAGTGAAACTACCCGGGGAGCAGCTAAGTCTGTCTTGGTTGTGTACCAGGTACAAACTCTTGGCCTGTGGCCCGCCGAATTGTTATGATTTGGTGGAAGTAAGTCTGGTACTCTTGGAGTCTTGGTGGGCTTTTCATGTATGGGTGCGGGATTATCAGAGGACTCCGTACGCAATCTCGACTGACTTACAGGCTTAGGATCTATCTATCTAGATCCTATATTGTTGTTCCATGGGACCTGAGAACTACTATGCTCTCCGTCTTTGGTTAGACATTTGGACGTGATAAAGAATAGAGAGAAAGCTGTAAATCGTCCCTAGAAGGCAATCCGCAAATGAACTGACCACCAGTTGAGGAACTAGCTGAGTGGTATTTGAACTGCCTTCATTGATATTTTGATCTCGAAACACTCTGGTTGAATTACGCCGAGATGATTGTAGACCTGGTGTGCACTCATCCTTCACATCCAAGGAAGAGGACTTCATCGACGACCACAAGGCATAACGAGGGTGCAGTCATAAAGTATGACCTCGATTCCGGATAAAGAATCAAAAAAGCCCAACCAACCGAGATGACAGCTTGACAGTCTGCTTGCAGACATCAACGCCTCTTGGTTTGGGCCAAACATGCACAGCGCCAAGTTCGCGTGTTCCATTGGCCACACACTGTCTAGTTCGCTCTCGATCACCTGCAGAAGCCTTCATCAAGCATTCGCCAAGCGAGCCAAAATCTATTTTGACCTTCCACAACAGCAGACGATTGATCAGAATTCGTCGATAATGGCCGAACCTGCGTGAAATGGCTTGCATGCATACTCCACCCTCCCATGTCCATGCGAATCATCAAATCCGACGACGGGTTTAAGCGCTGAGGACATGCGCATCAATATGTTGCTCAGCTAGACATCTCTATTTTACTCATGATTGAGTCAAGATAAGTGAGATCACATCTCACCTCTGCAGTTTCTGTCAAAACTCAAAGATCCTCCCCAAACAAACAACCAACATGGACGCAAAGACGAAAATCATCATCAAGGCAGTCGTTATTCCCCTCGCATTCCTCATCCTCATCCTCACTATAATCGCACTTTTCATCCTCAAATGTCGGATGGATCGCAAGAAAGATGAACGGGAAAATCTTAACTACTCGTTCGGGCCTTATGAGCAATGGCAGACTCCTCCCCAGCCTCACAACCAACAATGGCAGGCTGCTCAGCACTCTCACAATCAATGGCCGATGAATCAATACCCGATGGCGTCGGCGCAGATGGAGAAACCGGTACCGGTACCGGTACCGGTTGCATATCCGGTTCAATATCAGAGTCATCTTGACTCGAGGAGTTAAGCCTGATGTGGAAGAAATACAGGAGAGCTGTGATTCGGACTAGGTGAGTGACCTTTGGGAGCTATATGATGGAATAATCAATGTCTAATTTATAAATCATGAGTGCGATTAAACAGGATGTCTTTCTGCGGGCCAGAGAATCCCTCGGGACACAATTGATTCACATAGCTATCGAATGGAGCGTGGTCCCTTCAGTCTACCAAGAGAACAAAGCTTGAAATCCTCGCTGTAAGATTTGGAAGTATATGCGGCGCAAGCTTTATCAAGTTTAGAACAGATAATGTCTCATGAAAGCCAATAGACCGTCGTGAAAGAGCAACTAGCGCCACTTTGCCATCAGAGTCTTTGTTCTAGACAAGGCGTTCCGGAGAGTATACCATGTTTTCAGATTCCTCTCGAGGCCTTATCTTAGTTGTTGTGACTGGCTCGGGTGATTGTGATAGCGATGTTTATGGTTCAGTCAATGCCGAAGAATACCAACAGCCATGGGGAATACATATAACGGTAGTATACTGGAGACATGATGCTTAACCTCGACATCGAAGAAGTTTGTTGCAGGAAGACTAGACTTGACATGAATGTAGCACGTCCATGATACTGAAAAGAAATGCAGGTTAAATCCGTCACAGTCATATTCTGCTGATTAGTACGTGGTGGATTCTAAAAAATCCCATAGAATGACGTTCGCATATACATGACAGAAACCCAAAGTCGCAGGCTGATAAAACTGCACCTTGGAGAGCTGCAATAACATCCTAGCTGTCACAGAGCAGCATAATCCATTTGAAATGTCCCTATACCTAGTTGCCGAACCAGCCGATGTGCTCAGCACAAATCTGCTCCCAACGCTTAATGAATGTCGCATGGCAAAGACACATATAGGTGCGTTTGTGACCGAGATAGCACTTGGGGCAATCGAGGTTCATTTCCCACTGGGACTTCAGGCTATTCCAGAAATCCCTGCTGACCTTCATCGACAATTTCTCCTCCCAGTACTGTCTCTTTTCTGGATAGATACGAAGACAGGCATTGCAGTAACGCAGACCTTTCTTCGGACGTCCATCCATTTCCCTTGGCCACGCGAGTCTCAAGAGAAACAGGACCAGCTTTATGGGTGCCAGGTCTGGGAGTTTCTTGAACAAAAAGTCTCCAGGAAAGGCTGTGAAAGAGAGGATGCTGAGGAGGTATTTGCAGCTTGTTGATAGGGCAATCGTGTCTTGTAAGTTTGTGTAGGAAAAGATCTGAACCAGGATTTCAGTAGGCAGGTTGACGAGGGGCGAGGACTGTTGTTTCTTGCTTCGAAAGAACTAGTTATTCTTCTGTCAATATCGTCGTGAAGCTGAAGTCAATGTAATGTACTCACATGAGCTCCCAGAGGCTTCAAAGAGCTGATAGGTGGAAGGCTTGAGGTGCTCATCTGAGATGTTGATGCAGGACATTCAAATGATAGTCTGTAGATCAGTCAACTGTACAGTCGGAGAATAACTCCAAGGCTGAGTTGTAAGTTGGAGACATATATACGTTGTCTTTCAGATGGGGGGAAATCATTCACTTGCGAGTCGTGACAGACTTAGCTTGATATGATCTTCCCGATAATACCTTCCACCTATACATGACAGAAGATAGAAAAAGTGCTAAGTCTACCTTCACGGACTGTTATCGACTCTTTTCAATCACGAAAATGATCTCATCAGCGTATGTTTGTCCCTTTGTCGAGTGTGGTGGTCCAGGAAGATGGATTTGCTCGTGCCATTCTGGGTTCTTGTCACAGGTTTGGTAAGCATTCACCCGCAGAGTCGACTATGCCTCCTCAAACGAAGCTGACTGTTTCACAACCAAAGGATGGAGGATCAACCATCTTGCTTCAACCTCTTACTCTATCGATATCCGGACCGCAAACTTTCTTGGTCTGTTCTCACGCCTGTGTGTCGCCATCTTGTTCCGTATGAGAAATGATTCTGGCATGCTTGATTGAACGAGAGGGAGGACTTAATTCTACGAATTGGTTGCCTCACTCTCGTGTACTATTTTCTAGCAAGCACCTGAGAAGAGATATCTCTGCTTACATCTGCCGCCAGTTGATATTCCTGCTTGCTGTTCTTGGTGCCTTGGATCACACGCAAAAAGAGGACTAGGCTTTCCAGGTTCAAGAAATAACACGTAGGACAAGCTTTTCTGAAACGCTACATATGAAGCCAAGGTTCGTCTTACAGTCGTCTAATAAAGTCTAATATCGCAAGGCTAATCATTTCCTGCTCACAGATCGACGAGCTCTCTCCAGGGTCACCGCTTGAATTACAGCGAACAGGCCAATTTCCCACAGGCCCGTCCGGCTATGTGATTTATTTAACCACGCCAACAAAGAAGATAAATGGGCGAGAATTGATCGAATTGCAGAGGCGGGAGACCAGGACGTCGGAGAATGTGGTCGCAAGGCCACACAGCTAAGTCTTTGTGGCATTCAGCGGCGTCAGTCAGAGGTCCAATTCAAAAACCCCAATGTGACTATAATCTGCATTCACTATACACACGTGAGGGGTAGATTGGTCATTAACCAGCCAGCTTTGGTAAGATTGGCACTTATGCGGGGAGACGGAACTGTCAGACCAGTGAGGTCACAATCTCGGGGATACTTCAATACCCAAGCTTAAGGTTCCAACAAACTCAATTAAAATTATTCGATCAAGTTACTTGGGAGGGTTACTGTTATAAAATCGCAGAGGTCCCGGGCCGTGGTGGGCTTCAGCTGAAGTCATACTACTCGAGATCAGCTTGTCAATTTTCATCCCCTCGATTTCGCAGAAGGGATCGATACGAACACCGCGATGGTCTGGGTCAAGGCCTTGCTTTTGGGGCTTTGCGCCTCCACCACTTTTGCGCAGTCGCTTGACGGGATCTACGATCTTGTTCGTCGTCGAATGCCGAAGCATGCCGACAGTTTTCGGTTCTCTCTGGTGGACTTCAACTCGACCAATAACGACCAGTTCGTTGTGTCAACGGCTGCCAATGGCACAATCTTGGTGCAGGGAAATTCGTTAAGCGCCCTGTCATATGGGTATGACGTTCTACAAATTATATACCGCTGAGCAACACGATTGATAACAAGGACAGTCTGCACCGCTATCTCGCCGATGTCGCGCTTGTAGACATCTACTGGTTTGTCGGCAGTCAGCTACATCTAGCACCGACACCACTTCCTCTTCTGTCTAAACCATTGACTGGCTCCAGCACCGTTGAAAGACGCTACCATTTTAATACTGGTATGTCGCGACCTTATGAAACTGTCACAGTATGACTGACTTCCTAGTGACCTTCTCTTACACAACGGCGTTCTGGTCATGGGAAGACTGGGAGCTTCAGCTGGATTGGATGGCCCTGCGAGGCATTAACTTGCCCCTTGCTTGGGTCGGCCAGGAAAAGATCTTGGTTGAGGTCTTCCGTGAGATCGGCTTGACGGACGCTGAGATCTCGTCTTTTCTGAGCGGGCCAGCATTCCAAGCCTGGAATCGATTCGGTAATATCCAGGGTTCCTGGGGCGGTGATCTGCCCTATTCCTGGATTGACTCTCAATTCGAGCTACAGAAGAAGATCGTCCGCCGTATGGTCGAACTGGGCATGACCCCGGTTCTGCCTGCGTTTACAGGGTTTGTGCCTCGAGCGATCAGCCGTGTCCTTCCAAATGCAACAGTGGTGAACGGTTCTCGATGGGGAGGGTTTGATGAGCGATATACTAACGACACCTTCCTGGAGCCATTCGACCCCAGCTTCACCCGCCTGCAGCGCAGCTTTATCCAGAAACAGCAGCAAGCGTATGGAAACATCACGCACGTTTATACACTGGACCAGTACAACGAGAACGATCCCTACTCGGGAGATCTTGACTACTTGCGTAACGTCACCCGCAACACGTGGTTGAGCCTCAAGAGCGCGGATCCGAATGCTGTTTGGCTGATGCAGGGGTGGCTGTTTTACTCCAACTCGGATTTCTGGACTGACGAGCGTGTGAAGGCGTACTTGTCCGGTGTTGAAGTGGACCAAGACATGCTGGTGCTGGACCTCTTTTCTGAGTCGCAGCCCCAGTGGCAGCGTACGCAGTCGTACTACGGCAAGCCGTGGATTTGGTGCCAGTTGCATGACTATGGCGGCAACATGGGCTTGTACGGACAGGTGATGAACGTCACAGTAAATGCAACACAAGCCCTTGCTGCTTCAGACTCGCTTGTTGGATTTGGTCTAACCATGGAAGGTCAAGAGGGCAACGAGATCATGTACGACTTGCTCCTGGATCAAGCCTGGTCTCGGCAGCCGATTGATACGGACCATTACTTCCATAACTGGGTCAAGACTCGATACTCTTCTGGAGTGAGAGGTTCAGCCGTACCTGAAGAATTGCATCAAGCATGGGATATTCTGAGAACAACAGTCTACAACAACACCAACTTGACATCAACGGCGGTGTCTAAATCCATCTTTGAACTGCAACCAAGCATCTCAGGATTGCTTAACCGTACAGGTGATCATCCTACCACGGTCAACTACGATCCGGCCGCGCTTGTCCAGGCATGGCAATTGATGGACTCCGCCGCATCCAAGGACCGTTCTTTATGGTCTCAGCCCGCTTTTCTCTATGACATGGTCGACATTACCCGTCAAGTAATGGCGAACGCATTTATCCCTATGTATATCAATCTGGTCTCTACATATCAAGCTGGTGCCTCCGTTTCCACGGATGGAAGCAATCTAATTCAGCTGCTGCGCGATGTGGACTCTGTGCTTTCCACCAACGACAATTTCCGCCTGTCGACTTGGATTCGGTCAGCACGATCATGGGCGAGAAACGACACAGAGGCTGACTTTTACGAGTACAACGCCAGAAACCAGATCGCCCTCTGGGGCCCCATGGGTGAGATCAACGACTATGCCTCAAAGCAATGGGGCGGGTTGGTCTCGGCATACTACATTCCTCGCTGGCAGACGTTCCTGCATTACTTGAAAAACACTCAGGCAAGCAAGTATAATGTAACAAAAATAGAGGCACAATTGCTTAATTTTGAGCTCAAATGGCAGGAAGAGACGAATAAATCGACACGAGCTAAAACTCGTGATCTTCGATCCGTGCTGGCGAAAGTGAGCCGAAGATGGCCATCAGTGTTTGGAGACCAGAATAGTCCCTGACGACGGAAATAGAGAGACTATCAACGAAGTATAGACGCAATGGAAATATGCAGCACGCCTCATAGATGTGCCCGCGGCTCAGACTTCCTACTCAGAGGCTCCTTGAATCCTGTAAAGCCCTTGGCCTTGATGTCCGCAATTATAGCTCTGAACCGTCCGACTCCACCAAAATAGAATAACGTGGAAACTATCTTGCCGGGAACATTATGGCCGAAGAGCCATTGAGGTACCTGCTTCAGGAGGGTGCTGTTGGCGATCTCGTCGCAGTGCTCGCCCCATTTGCGTTGTGCTTCTTCAGTTGCTTCAACTAAACAGGGGCAATTCACCCGCTGACTGACCTCCTCAGCCCGCTTTATTAGATCCACTATAAAGTTCACATTCTCCTCTGATATGGGAGGGATATTGGCAAACGGTGTCTGCGGGCCGTTGATCATCAAGAGATTAGGAAAACCTGGCACGGAAATTCCCAGATAACTCGCTGGGCCTTTTGCCTTCCAACGATCTCGAAGGTTTCCGCCTGATTTGCGGCCTTGAATGTCCAACCGAACATACGCTCCGTCCATTGCGTCGTAGCCCGTTGCGAAAATGATGACGTCTAATTCATGCAACTTGCCATCCGCCGTGCGGATCCCCTCTGCTTCGATCTTCACAATGGGATGGGTCCGGATATCCACCGCAAAGACGTTCTCTCGGTTGAACTGCTCATAGAAGCCGTTCGCACACAGCGGACGACGTGCATACGGCTCGTCCGGCGTAAGCACCTTCCGCTTTTGTGGATCCTTCACGATCGCCTCGATCTTCCTCCGGATAAACTTGCAGGCCTCCTCATTGGCAACTGGGTCCGTGAGCAAATCAGTGAACCCACCAAACAGGAACTGCAGCCCACTTCCGGATTCCCACAGGCGCTCGAAGGCGGCTTCGCGGTCTGCGGGGCACAACGCCATGGCCTCTCGCGAGAGCTCGGGGAACCCGATGGCGAGCCGCGAGGTGCGAGCCTCAGTCCAGATTTTGGGGAAGTCTCTGAGAATCGCCTCGCGCTCTTGCGCGGTGAGCGCACGGTCACCGCTGGGAACGCAGTATTGCGGACGACGAATGAAGACGTGCAGGGACTGGACGGTGTCCGCAACGGCGGGCACGAGTTGCACACCCGAGGAACCCACGCCGACAAGACCAACTCGCTTACCCTTGAGATCTAGATCCGTGTCCCAAGCAGAAGTGTGCCGTATCTCGCCGTGGAACGTCTGCAGACCGGGAAGATCTGGGTAATTGGCCTTCGTCAGCAGCCCCAATGCTGTGAGGAGGTATCGAACGCGGAAAACATCGCCGGTCTTGCAGGACACTCGCCATGTGCTTGTGCCTTCGTCCCAAACGGCGCTAGACATGTCCGTATTAAACTGCATGTATCTGCGTAGGTCGTACTTGTCTACCACGTGGCGCAGGTATGCCAACACCTCGGGCTGCGAGACATACCGCCGGTAGAGCGGATACTCGTAGTCGAACGAGTAGCGGTACAGGTGAGACCAAGTGTCACTCAAGGCGCCGGGATAGCGACTCCAGTACCAGGTACCGCCAACGTCACTGGCGGCATCGATCGCTTTAACTTTGAGGTTTAGTTTGAGGAGGGATTGGAGAGCGTAGATGCCCGAAAACCCGGTGCCGACGACCAGGGCGTCGAGGTAGTGTTCCGACATTGTGCTCGTATGAGTTCTTTCTAGAGAGGTGGTGATGAACGGACGGCATTGTCGAGGATAGGGGCAAATATATTCGTTCTTCCGTCTCCCACCTGCAGTGACCTTCGTACAACAGGGATGCCATGGATATGCAGTACCCCCTCATTTGAGCAGGGTATGCAATGCATGTCAGACTCGGGTTCATTGACGTCTGCAATTAATGATGCTGTTAAGAATGTGTTCTTTAATTTTATCCAACAACTTACTACAGAATATCACTGTACTACACATATCAGTGGTGAATGGTCATTGTCGGACAGTTGCCAGAAGTACATGATAAATTCTCGATGAATCTCAGTCTGAATGCGAGTTCATTATGAACAGGTCGAGCTATATTGCTTTTTCCGATACTGCATGAGCCATGTTTATGCGTGTGACCCCTCGAGCTGCTCGTAGGAAACGGTGGCGGCTCTTCGTTGCTTTTGATACAGGTCGCCATTGTCCTGGAGCTACTGGAAATGCCGCTTTGTAGGAAGGAGGGAAATAAAATAATGGACAATGTTGTCAGTCTATTGAGCGAGTAATCTCGAGCCAGAATTAGGGACAATATGGAGGACCCTGTGAAGGTTGTCAGAATGATCCAGATGACATGAGAGAAAGGATTGGGGGTAGGTGTTTTGCGGCGGGCTTTCTGGTATAGAACGCAAAAAAGCTTCAACCACTAAATACAAATACAGAGAGAAGGCACAGACTACCTACTCTTTAAACAAGACATCTAGAAAATAAAAATAAGATAAAAAGGAAAGGAAAAATATTTCCGAGAGACAAAACGGAACATCAGCGGCAGGTGCACTCCCGCCTGCTGGAAATCCGCCCAGGCTCCTCCTCTCAGTGGGAGGACTGTGAATCGAACCCAGGGCTGTTGGGGTAGTGAGGTACCATACTCTAGACTCAACGGAGTTGCAGTGGCAGATTTCTGCGCAATAGTACGACCGCTGCACTACCGCCCCGGTTTCTTGGGTTGAGAGGAAGACGTAATAATGCTTCATCTGTTGTCTAGTGGAAGGCCTAAAAGGGTAATGGATGTGTTGGTACCTGAGGAACGAGGCATGGAAGTGTACTGCTGAGCCTGAGGCAGCGAGAGTTCATCTGACATTGCTTGCTAAGTTATCCTAAATGTCGTGCTATTCCTCCTACAATCTTGTGTCTTCCGATGTCTCCAACATGGACAGTGACTAGAGCAGCCATACTCAAACCTTTGACAAGAGGAAAGAGGTTGCGTTTGGCACATCATCGCCATAGCTGAGATGCGCAGCAGTAATGATCAAAGTCCCGTCACACACCAGGTCTCCGAAAGCACAGTATATCTTGGTGCGATCTGTGGGGAAGTTGGGGATCCGTCCTCCGTCCTGCTTGTTGCGCGTATCGCCGAACAGCACAACCCCCTTGATCATGTTTTGGACGTCGCTGGGAAGATTACGGATGGCACCGTGCATGACAGCTGCGCCCTGACTATACAGTTCTTTAGCTTTATTCGATTCTCGTGATGCGCGAAGGGAACAATACCTATATCCACCAGCGACGATCTTCGTGTTCGGGCACTTGGACGCAGCGAGTTTAAAGAGACCCGCTGCCTCGTCGATGGCAATTTGGTTCGTGCCCTGTGGGAGGAAGTTGGAGGCCAGATCAGCGATATAGGCTGGTCCAACGCCTTGACAGGCCACTTGGCCTGGACGACTGAGTTTGAGAGCGTTGCAGACTCCGGGGCCGGTGGTGATTCCCTTTCTTCCGTCAATCTACCAGAATTAAGGACTGGCATGAAGTATACTTACCAGAAGACCAGGCTCGGTGGAGCCCCGGGCAAAGATGAAAGTGATGGGCTCGCAAGGACCAGTCCGAAGTTCATCACCGGCAATGGCAGCTGTCTCATTAGCATGGAGTGAGATTTGCAAGGAGAAGGCACATACTCTGCCGCACGTCAATGGCCACGGGGCTGGCTACAGCCATGGCCGCGAGGGAGAGGAGTGCAAACTTCATTTTGAGAGGGCTGGAGAGATCTTAATCTTCTGACAATGATGATGATGCTGCTGCTGCTCCTGCTGCTGCTGTCTGGAATCAATCACATCCTCAAGGCATCGTGAACGCTCTCTTTATACCCTCGGAAATCTTGCTGCTCAACGGTAGTTGTTCGCAAGTCGACCCGGCATTTCTCTTCATCTCTCCCAGCAATGTACAGGAACGAGGCCTCATCCTCGGTAGGAATGCTGCTGTTTTCGATGGCATTGGTCAGGAACTGGATGCGAGGGTTTATTCAGTCCGCCGGCCCCTCAAACCGAGGCGAAATACACGCATCCTTGTCGAGGAGGGTTGCATTTCTGCTGGCAAAGGGTCACGGTGACCCTCTGCCGGGGGTTTTAATATGATTCTACCCCATGTTTCGCGATTTCTCCACACAAAAAGTCTTGGCTGCGTCGAGGATGACCTGAAGAAGCCCATTAGCGGCACGGTAATCGTATATTAAAAGATATGTACCGTGCTTGGCTGGTTCCTCTCGGTATTTAGGATGACTTTGAGTTGTTTTAGATGAAACTGTATGCGGGGGAGAGAGTCTTCTTCCGGACCAGATGTCCGAGGTCTGCGTTCTTGGTATCGCCAGAGATTCTGATAGGGACACTTGACGAATTGATGGCTGTTGCACTTCGTATCGCCCCTATTTGTTCCGACTCATTAACGCCGCAAAAATATAATTAAGTGATGATATGCTGGCACTGGTTGGACTGTCGAGCATGCCTTAGGCCCTTAAAGACACGTCGATCAACGGTTCCGGCTTCAATTTCGCCGACTGGCTTCTCATTGGTAAACCCCTCAGATGTTGTCTCGTTCATTCATGACGATCCCTAGAGCTATTAGTTCAGTCAACTTGGTGAGAGTTCGGTAATATTGGGGAATTAACCACACGCTAATGCTGGGGAAGCGGCCTCAGGCGCACCCCCTTTTTGACAGCAGAACGAAGAAATTATTCCGTCGACTAGAGCATGACCAACAGTCCAGAATCTGCCTCTTTCTGATATCTGCATCAAAAGGTCAACAACCGAGGCTTCTTGATTTGTTGCAAAATCGAGCATCCACAGCAGAAGTCTAAAATCAGACTGTCACAGGTGGTTTGCGTGACCTGCCCATGTTGGCATGCAGCAATGCTTGAGGCAAGACATCTCAGAAGGCTTCAGGATGCATCGCGTCGCTGTACCCTGTAGCCTAGTCCGTCTCTTTTATTATGCACTATCAAGGAACCATGTGATTGTTGTCGTCGTGCTGCTTAATGGTTCAAGGAGTAGTTATCCACCATGACAAAGTAGGTATTCTCCACGGCGATCTGTGTCCACCAACCGAGGATGAACTCTGACTCGCAGGCTAGCAGCTTTTTATCAGCGTCTTTTGTCTAAATCAGGAAATGTCAACTCTCGTCACGATGATCTTCGCCTTTTCAATCATTGCTCAATGTCTGTCGGATTCCCCATAAGCACGAAATGCTGACAGATCCCATCATGCACGGAGAATTCTTCCTGTCCCTGATCGTCTCTCAGGGGCAGACACTTCAAACTGCGTAAACCGCCTTCTACCTCTCGACCATCGTCAGAGTCTTATGCAACAAATCGATGAGTTACAAACTCAAGCTGTTGAGCCTGCTGGCCGCTGGCCTGACCTCCGCGGTCCATCTGACCGGGTATGAATACATCGTCGTGGGATCCGGCGCTGGAGGCGGTCCATTGGCCGCTCGTCTCGCGCTCGCCGGCCACAAGACGCTGTTGATCGAAGCAGGAGATGACCAAGGGCTCAATGTCAACTACACCGTGCCGGCATACTCGGCCCTGGCCTCGGAGGACGAGAAGATGGCCTGGAACTTCTTCGTGCGCCACTACGCCGATGAGGAGCGCCAGGCACGCGACTTCAAGACCAGCTACGAGACTCCCGACGGGGAGATCTACACTGGTCTCAACCCGCCGGCCAATTCCACCATGATGGGGACCTTGTATCCCCGTACAGGCACGCTGGGGGGCTGCACCGCGCACAACGCCATGATCGCCGTCTATCCAGACCGCTCCGACTTTGAGTACATTGCCACGCTGACGGGCGACAGCTCATGGTCCCCGGAGAACATGCGGAAGTACTTTGTTCGCATGGAGCACAACGAGTACCTCCTTCCCGGCCAAAAGGGCCACGGCTACGACGGTTGGCTGCACACCGACACGGCACCCTTGGACATCGTTCTCAAGGACCCGCAACTGCTCAGCCTGCTGACAGGCGGCGCCTTTGCCCTGGGTAACATTACCCACACGCTCATGAACTTCGGGACACTGCTCCTGAGCGACGCCAACGCCGACTCGCTCGCCCGCGACACCCAACCCGGATACTACCAGATCCCTCTATCGAGCACCGACGGCCGCCGCAACGGGCCCCGCGAGTTCATCACCGCCGTACGCGACGCCACAAACCCAGACGGTAGCAAGAAGTACCCGCTGGACGTCCGGATGAACTGCCACGTCACCCGCGTCATCTTCGACACCAGCGTCTCCCCGCCCCGCGCCACAGGCGTCGAGTTCCTCGACGGCAAGCACCTCTACCGCGCCAGCCCGCTCGCCCACCTCGCCCAACCCGGCACCCCCGGCTCCGCCTCCGCCTCCCGCGAAGTCATCGTCGCCGGCGGGACCTACAACTCCCCGCAGATCCTCAAACTCAGCGGCGTCGGCCCCGCCGACGAACTCGCCCGCTTCAACATCCCCCTCGTCGCCGACCTCCCCGGCGTCGGCACGAACCTCCAAGACCACTACGAGGTCGGCGTCCAGGCCCACGTCCCCTCCAACTGGACCAGCCTGCACGGCTGCACCTTCACCCAGTCAGACCCCTGCCTGGACCGGTGGGAGTCCAAACCCCCACTGGGGAACCGGGGAATCTACTCCTCCGCCGGCTTCGCCGCCGCAATGTACTACAAGTCGACCGTGTCGGCAGACAACGCCTACGACGCCTTCGTCTTCGGCGGCCCGGTCAACTTCCGCGGGTATTTTCCGGGATACAGCGTGAACATCACCTCCCGCCACGACTGGTTCACCTGGGCGGTTCTCAAGGCGCATCCGCGCAACACGGCGGGGACGGTCAGCCTGCGCTCTGCCGACCCGCTCGATACGCCGGCGATCGTGTTCAATTACTTCGACATGGGGGCTGGCGAAGACCTGCAGGCGATCTATGAGGGGATCGAGCTTGCGCGCGATGCGTTGCGCCGCCAGCTGGTTCCCACCACGGAAGTCCTGCCTGGTGCGGAGGTGGTCAGCCAGGAGGATATCGAGACGTATGTGAGGGATACGGCGTGGGGACACCATGCGTCTTCGACGTGTCCGATTGGCGCGGATGGTGACCCGATGGCGGTGCTGGATAGCAAGTTCCGGGTGCGCAAGGTGCAGGGGCTGAGGGTTGTCGATGCGAGTGTGTATCCGCGTATTCCGGGGACGTTTACGGCTGTTTCGACGTATTTGGTTGCGGAGAAGGCGACGGATGATATTTTGAGTGAGTTGGAGGGTTGATCCTCATTATAGTGGGATAGACGGTTTCACATGTGGATTATTGCCATGCGGCTGAGCATTACTTCGTGTTTATAATCTGTCAACAGTTCTATGTACATGTACAATAGTGTATTGTTGTGAACCTACTCACAATGATCGACCGTATATATCATGTCGTATACTTCCTCAACACATTACCCAACTCCACCAGAGCGTCACTGATCAATGGGTCTCAACTGAGACCAAACCTGGTTTATTTATGAGGGCACAGACGTTCTGCGTGATCTGCGGGAACGCCCAGGGCATCACATCATGCTGTGGCTGGTCATGACGGAGACAAAGGAGTTCTGCGTTCTGTGACTATCACTCGAGTGTAGAAGAGTGAACAACACGTAAGTGCCCGTTCCACTTCAGTGTCTCACAATGGTGGACCCTGCTTGTGCTGTACAGAGTGGACGTGACGTCGTCCACCGTATGGTCGCATCAGACCGAAGATCGGTTCGATAATGATCAGTGCCGGAATTGACCTCAGAGTCTATTTCCGAAGCGACGTAATACCAGGTACCCTCCCTTCTGGGATGGACGGTTGTGGATGGTGCAGGTGCAGCTCGAGTCGCGCTCAGCTGCGCGCCGACGGGCAACTACTCCAACAACCAATTCAGAGCGTTGTTCACGAGCGCCTCGCTAGTCAGACTGTGGTCACTGAGGAGAGCAGACAGCTTGCCGCTCTCTCGGTCAGATACTCGGGTGTGTGATGGCGGAATCAGAAGCGAAGATTCGGTTTTGATGCTCCCCGTCAGCCCCAGGATCCCGGATTCATCGCTGGTATTGTATTGTGATGGTCGCGGGATGCTTGAGGGTTGCGGTCCGGGTGTTTGCCGCTCCGCCAGGATGGCAGTGTGTTCGATGACAAAGCGGGCCAGCCAGTGGTCCAAGGTGAACGGATTGCTCATGGTTTCTTGGTAAGTGGTTTGAAAGTCTCGGAGGCGCGCAATCTAGACTTGTTAGCATCAGGACAGAACTGATTGGGGGTTGCTAACTCACCGACTGCCGAACAGCAGGCCAATGTGTTCTCAATCCCATCAGGTATTCAAAGTTCGAGACTACGCGTTGCCGTGCGGTACTCAGCTCCGACAACTCCTCGCTCAGCATCAAAACCTGCATGTAGACACAAGAGCTGACGATGGCCACGTGCCCGTAAAGGAAGTAGTCGAGCTGGCAATCGTCCACCTTTGTGGAGTAATCGATGATTTCAGAGATCGCATTGGCGCTTTTTCTGCATTGAGCAATGCCGTCTGCAGTAGATGCTGCGTTCCGACCTGCTCGTGCATCCAGAGAGGGAAAGAAAAGCATTTGCCGGAAATGATGGTAGACAATATGCATGGCGAGAAAATTCCGCCCCAGCCCCTGTTTAGCAAAGAACGTGAGATTCTTGGAGCTATAGGCCAATGTTGGAGGCAATCCCCGAACCCATCCGTCCAGACACTCCTTCAACAAGGGGACCTCGCTGAGGTAGGCGTCAAAGGTGATGACTCCACGACTGAGTCGCGTTAGAAGGACGCTTATTCGGGTGTATATGTCCAACGTCCCGGCCATTTGCGCCCACATGTCACATCTCGACGAGGATGGAACGGGCACTTCTCGCAAAAGTTCCGGGTCATACGTGTGAAACGCCACATCGTCTACCTCGGGGAGCACATTGAGGTTGTGGAGAGAAGCCCCCGAGTTTACAGACATGTCAATGATAGTCCACGGGTCCGCAATCCGGATGGAAAGCCACGTCCGCCTCCGCTCTTCTCGATGCACAACGGTGGAGTTTGGCGGCATGGCCCATAGAGAGAGCACTTCAGCGTGTGTGCGGGCAACGCCGATGTAGACCTGCTTCGCCTGCGCATCTCCTTCTCCCCCTACGAGATGCCCCAGGAGAACTGCACCCTGCACCGTTTCCAGGCTGGGATAGTTCACCCTCTCCTGGAATAAGCGAATGGCCTCGCCGGCATAGAGCTTACCACGTGACTCTGGAGCGACGCCATTGAAGACAGCATTCTTCGAAAATCTGCCATTGATCAGTTTCCGCAACAGTTTGAGCATTGACTGACTTACCTCGCAACGAGCGCACACATGGCATGCACATGCATCAACGACGCTCGGCCTTCATTCAGCAGCCGCATAAAGCTGGCCTCGTGAAACAATGTATGCGCAACGTTGTGGATAGACCGAAAATACAAAGTCACCAGCTCCAGAAAAAGAGCCGGCGTGGCCAGCAAATACAGATCCAGCAGAGGTTCCACGGGAGGTAGCTCCTGGATCCTTCTCACCGGCTTGATCACAGCAGCCCGTGGAGGTTCAGACGCTGGCAGCTTCTCCGTTACAGGGTGATGATGATGGGACGCCGCCGCAGCGCCATTTGTCGCAGCAGCAAACACCCCGGGTTCCGTACTAAGGCTGCACGGAATCGCCAGAGACAAACAGAGTTCGCAATTATTGTACTTGTCCCCAGCAGGAACACAGCGTCTCTTGCGAACTCTGAGCAGCGCGTTTTGTGTTGGTCAGCTTTATCCCTACGCCGAAGTGTACTCAGTGTAGTTCTTCTTACCGGCAAGTTGTGCACGCCCCGGCCCGTGGCCTTTTATCTCCGACGACCATGATGGAAATGATTATTGGTATTCATCAATTGGCTCAACCTCATGCGCAATTAATTGCAATGGAAAACCATACTGAGTGGACTAGTCGTCTAATAATATGGTAGCATTAGCGAGGAAGAAAGGGAAAAAAAAATTCAGACTTGAAGTCGCGTTGTTGTTGCTGCTGGATGGTGACTAAGCAGAAAATAGGGAGACGCCAAATATGTGTGTCTGTGTGTAGGAAGGATTTGTATGCACGCTGATCTTACAGTAAGACTTCAACAGAAACGTCTGGATTCAGTCATTGACAGCGTGAATCTGTTGATTGTGATAAAATCGATCTGTGTACAAATTTGTAGCGGCCTCAACTCGATCACCGCAAGACGGCGACGAGATTACTCGACTGGGCCCGATGAATCCCTTTCCCGCCATCCTATTTTGCCTTCACTAGAGCAAGACTCCCTAGCTTGGCATTGGACATTTTGTCGCTCTGTCGCCCTGTCCTCTCGCCAGATTCATCATCAATCGAGTTCTGCCAACCACTCTGCAGAGGAAATAACCCGCGCCTGTCTGGACAACACCTTTTTCATCAAAACATCATGAACCTCTTGGTCCCTGTCCATGCACAGATCCTCCAACACAGTCAACTGGTAGTCCAGATCAGCAGCCTGCCGAACAGTTGACAGCACCGCACCGCTGGTGATCAGCCCGACGACGACCAAATGCTCCGCTCCCAGACAGCGAAGCACCAGGTCCAGATCCGTCGCGGTGAAAGCCGACACGCGGCGCTTGGTGATGATCGGCTCGTTGGCGTCCGGTGACACGACGGAAGGGATCTCCACGGAGATATCACCTTCGCGGAAGGACTGTGATTCTCGGACTCGAGTACCCATGGTGCTGCGCGGGTGTATGTCGGGGTATCCTTCCCGGAAAGCTGTCTTGACGTAGATGACTTTGATGTTGGATTTGCGAGCCGCCTTGATGACGGGAGCGAGGCGTGCAAGGTAAGTATCTGGGTCGTCTAGGCGCTCGACGATCCCGTTCTGGATGTCTAGGACGAGGAGGGCGGATTTGGTCATGTTGCACTCGATTCGGGTGGCGCTCGAGGGAAAAGCTTGTGCGGAGAGTCAAGGCTTAGCGAATACAGTGCAACTTGAATGAGCCGCAGTGCAACGTGAGAAAGGAGGTGAGCTTAGGCATGGTTGTGATTGCAGATCGCCTTTTACATCCAAGCATCCCGGTTCCGCTTCAGACAAGCCGGTACCGGCTATTGACCAATTGCACACTTAGCCTTGTGACGGGTGGTCCAGTACATTGTTATCTTTGCATGGGAACTTCATGAAGACTTTTAAGAGGAAGACTTTTAGTAGCAAAATGATTCCATATCGGAATGATGTTGCGGAGTGGTCACTTTGTGGAGGCACACTATATACACGCTTTATTGGAATACAAAGGGGAGGTAAGCACCACGACTTGCTGTCTCTGTTCATCAATTTCCCATTTATATTCAACCACACACCTTCAGGCCAGCCAGAGAGTTGAGGTCAGTGGGAATAACGCCAGCCGCAACAGCATCTAAAGAGTCAGCACCTGTTGATCACGTAGCACTGGTAAGGAGCAGCCCACCTTGGTATGACCAACGATAATCGCCCAATTGAGCCTTCCACGTCCAGAAAATCCAGCCCTGCTGTTTCTCATACGCCGTGACCTGGGCGGCAAACCACTTCTTGTAAAAGTCCTTGTTAGAGTCAGGCGCCCAGTCCGAGTTCCACTGCACGCTATCAGGAACGCTCAGACTCCATTCTCCCACAATGGTCGGGGTGTTGCTGTTGAGCTGGTCGCTGCAGGATGTGCTGATGTAGCTGTCCTTGGAGACGGCGACGCCGGCCCACTTTAGATAACGGTGGTCGTCGTAGGCGGCGTAGTAGGTGTCAGTCAGGGACTCGTTGGGATCACCCGAGCCCCAGAGTCTGTCCATCATCTGGATGTGCAGGTAGTTGTTTCTATCGATGTTGAGGCTTTGCTCTGCAGCGCGGATTCTCTGCGGTCAAGCGTGAGGGTGAGCATTGTCTCTGTGCTTGTATGAGAGCGACTCACCTTGAAAGCATTGGGATAATAGGTGCTCCGCATCGAGCCAACCTTGCCAGCATCCTGAACAGGCTCATTGACAACCTCGAGCATTCCAACATTGCGGAACTTGTCGTTCTGGTGGATGTTGGTGGTCATCCACTCGAGGAACTTCAGCGCCCTCTCGAACTGATAATCCTGGTAAAATCCAGCGGTGGGCGCATACTGGCCCGTAAATGGATTCTGCGGCGTCTGAGCCCCGGGAGCACCGTGCAGGTCAATGATAATATACAAGCCCGCATCACTGGCCCACCCACACAGGTTCTCCAGATACTGCAACCCGCCCTGAGGGAAATGCTCACTGTCCGAGTAGACCAGGTCCTCGCGCATCCAGTACCCGACAGGGACTCGGATGGTATTCAGCCCATAGCTTACCATCTCGGCGAGGTCATCCTGTGTGATCCAGGAGCCCCAGTGGCTCGCAAAGGCACCGTTCGCTTTGGCCTGGCCCAGGCTCGAGACGCAGTCGAACTCGGATTTCTGACCGCCGCAGCCCATATCCGACCACGCCTTCTCTGCGATCCATGGCTCGAAGACGAATTGGGAGCCCAGATTCACGCCCCGGATCTTGCCGTTTGAACTCGAGAAGAGGTTCGTCCCGTTTGTTGAGGTGATCTTCTTGTTGACCTCGGGCAGCCAGGCGGTTGCCAGGCCCGATAGAGCGCTGAGAGCTGCGAGTCTTCTAATCATTTTGATCGAACTGCCTTTCACTAAAGAGCGGCGCAAAGAGATATGTGATCCGCATTCCTGTCAAGACAGGTTGATGCTATTTATCCTATTTTCCGACTCCAAAATCTGAAACGCGGATCAATGCGCCCCAGCACGGCAAACAATGCTTCGCTTCCAAAGTCCAAATCCATCGGCATTAGCCGCCCCTGAGCGTGAAAATGCCGATCATTTGCTTATGCTTACGAGTTCCCCCAGGCAAACTGTGACGTGCGAGACTTAAGGCTAGCATTCTGTCCATGAAGTCAAGGGGCAATCGAATTGCCGAGATACGCTGGAGGAGAGCGTGAATCGGCAATTATCAAATTGGAAGGCTATTTTGAAACCTGCTGGCTGGCGATCTTCAACGCTCGGTGTGTTGACACTCAGCGCTCGGTGTGTTGACACGGATCTAGACTTGAGGTTGGAGGAATTAAGGGGTGATCCGGCTGGTACGGTAGCATCGAAGAAAGGATCTAGGAAACGAGATGCAACAATGCAGAACATGACCCGACCACTCAATTCGAATGAAAATATGATCACTATAACCTCAAACAGTCTAATCCATAGGAGTTCCTGGAATTAAAGGTCCTAGTGATCGTCGTCTAAACGGCCAACTCTAGGACTTGCCTGTTTGGGAAAATGGTATTCGTCAACTCACCTCTCCCGTCATAACAGCGATAATGACCGGATGACCTTCGATCATGAGTTGTCAAGGCTAATGTGATTCTCAGTTGCATTCAATTCAAGTTAGCAACCAGGCTCATCATCGTGCTGCTCAATTTCCCTGTCTCTCCACGAAGTTTTCGACGATGCTTGTTTGCTTTCAGGAGGAAGCTTCATAATATCACTGTTTAGTTGGCTTCTAAGAACGATTATAGGACAATGGCTCTTCAACCATCACATGCATCCTTCTCAGTGGACTCTCCATGTCAGAGTCCTTCAGCGATCCAACCTCGACTGAGGAAGGTTCGTAGTCCGGCTACAGATGGAAACACCGTCTGATACGGAATCGAACCAATGTGGCCACAATCGAGGTTGAACGTTGTCTACAACCCATTTTTTAATATGTCCCCAGACCCAACCCCCTATTACATAATGTTTGCTCACTTGTCCATTTACTGGGACGCTCCCACCAGAACGATGGGACCAGGCCCGGTATCAGCCCATGAATGCGTCAATGAGACGAACCGACGGGGCCACTACTGTGTCAAGATGAACTAGCTAGTCGAGGGTCCAACGAACACAGTCCTGGCACCGAAGGCGCAACAACGAGGATGTTGGATATATATTTGGGATTTTGAGACCAGAGAATCGCAAGAATAGCAGTACAGCCTGCAAGCGCACGATTCATCGACCGATATTGGATTCATCGCACTAACGAGATAATGCGCACCTTAACCAAGTGAACTAGCCGCAAGGCGTCAAACTATACGGACTCGGTAGTCAAGGAAGAGCTGCATCTTGTCCCCTCACTGTCGGATAACCGGGAGATCTGACAGGACACATTGTACGGCCTCACATGTGAAGTGCACAGCTTTTCGTCGCTGACCTTGTGTGCAGGGAATTTCACGGCTCCATGATCGGAACTCAACTCAGAACATCCTTAATAACTTCTGTTTGCTCAATGGACTGCAGCCACTATCTCGCTGACCACCTGTGTCAGT